TTCCTATGAAAGCGATAACAAACAATCGTGGTCACTGATTTACAACATATCGCCTTCCGCGTGTAAGAGTAAATTATAAAAATCATGAAGCCGGATTTCGCGAGATAATAATAACGTTACCGCGCCTACGGTGCACCATGTACTGGAACATTTACCGTGTGTCCGGTATCACCCAGAAACTGGTCGATGTGACAAATTGCGTGATATCAAAAGAATCGAAGTCACCAGAAAGCGGCTCGTTGCACAATCCATTTATCAGCCTTACGCTGTGTCTTTCTCTCGAAAATAATAGCTCTATGTTACGCGAAAACGTCTCGAACAATGAACGTGTTACGTCGATTACATCAACAATCGATTTTCTTCTCGCTAACACATCGCGAAAACATTTCATGGCGGACAAGATGTCTGCCAATTTTGTGTAGGTTGCTATCACGTGATTGTTATTTCAATTTTTTATGTAGGAACGATATGAATTTTTTTTTTATTATATCCTTGAAATGTTAGAGTTTCTTGTACTTTCAGTGCATCTAATTGTATTGTAATTGTATGGATGATATTTTAATGTCATTCGTGGTGAACTTTACTCGCCTATTTTTTCCTCTGCTGCGGCGGGCAATGGGTTATTGTATGTTTAGGTGCAATGTAAAGTTTTCCTATACTCTTTAGGCCGGTTTTCAAATTATCAAGCTTTTGAAGTTGTAAATTAAGAAATTTCAATTTTTGAATTTGGAAATTTTCAAATTCTTAAGTTCCTATGTTTCAAATCTCTAAATTCTCAAATTCCCAAGTCCCTAAATCCTCAAGTTTCCAAATTTCCTAAATTCCTAAAACCTTAAATATCCCAAGGACCTACATCTTCAAATTTTCCAAGATTCCAAATATCTAATCCTTAAATCTCCGAATTCTCTAGACCCTAAAACCCTAAATCCTCAAATTCCCTAGGCCCCAAAACCCTAAATCTCCAAATTCTGTAGACCCCAAGTCTCTAATCCCCAAATTTGCTAGACTCCAAGATTTTAAATCCCCAAATTCCCTAAACCCCAAAACTCTAAATCTCTAAACTTCCAAATTCTTTAGATCCCAAAACCCTAAATCTCCAAATCCCCAAATCCCCAAATCCCCAAATCTCCAAATTTCCAAATCCCCAAACCTCCAAATCCCTAAATCCCTAAATCTCTAAATCCCTAAATTCTTAAATTCTCTAGATCCCAAAACCCTAAATCTCCAAATCCCCAAAATTCCAAATTCCCAAATCCCCAAATTTCCAAATCTCCAAATCTCCAAATCCCCAAACCTCCAAATCCCTAAATCCCTAAATTCCTAAATCCCTAAATCCCTAAATCTCTAAATCCCTAAATCCCTAAATTCCTAAACTCCTAAACCCCTAAATCTCCAAATCCTCCAAATTCCTCAAACTTAAAACGTTGAAAGACTATTAACCCAAAATATTTAGCAGCAAAAACTCCATCTCTTACCCCAAATCTCCAATTCCCCTAGAAAAGCTCATCATCCTCCCTACCAATGTCAGTATACTTCGACAACATAGTAGGCGCGTCCTCAGAGGAGGCAGAATACATTTTTCTTTATTTCAACGTGCATCACAAGGGGAACGCATCCTACATCATACTCGACCGAGTGCATCCATATGTACGCATAACCATAAAGCGACATCCCAAACGTGGTATTCCATCGTCGAATGTGATGCAGGGATGTCAACAGTATTCGTTACCGTAACGAACGTTAACACATCGGTAAACCGGTGATCGGCTTCGTTCGGTGCATTTCAACAAATTATGCAGCAGCTTTTCTTCACTTTGTCTACGTTGGAATAAATTTGTACCCGGCTAGAAGATGTAAATCGATCCCTTTTTCATTTCATGATTTTCAAATAGACCGGAATATATTCAAGAGACAAGACTTTCATCCATAATGTCGACGATAGCATTTTCTGTCGTGTCTGACGGAATTACTAATAACGAATCAAATATTCTTTTTAAGGTCTTTTATTTTCTATTGAATTAACTGGACATTTGCATTTATTTGCATGGAGGTGTATTTTGTGGATTGTTGGTTTAGGAAATGATGTCCTCTTTTGGAGAAGTATTAACTTTACAGGAACTGGCTGTAGGATAATCATTGGAATTGCTAATTCTTTTCAAATAACACTGAGCAAACCTACATTAAGTCTGAATAAAATTAAGTTGCACTGCAGTTACACTTCTGCTTCAAATATGAAACGTAAAAGAATGTATTATAAGATCAAAGGCTTTTGAGTGTATCAAAATATACGTTGGGAACTTAACAAAATTGTTTAGAAGATTTGTGTGTATCTCCTCAGTCATGAATAACATACTTCATAATTAACAAAACTATTCCATCTTGTACTTTATCAAGCAACAATAAACAGCAAACTTTATATTTAACAAAAAAGAAGAAGATGTTACTGCATTTTGTCAAACATGAACGAATAGCAAACTGCATAATGAACAAAACAGTTCAGAATATTTCCTCATATTTTGCATGAATAGCAGCCTAATAGAAAATAAAAATTTTCCCAATAGAAATTGTTAATCATTAGTATTGTCAGAGGCGAAGAATGCACCCTGTTCAAAAATTGAAAAGACCATGCAGGGGTTAATGAGCGAGCAGACAGAATTTAAAAGGAAGTACAAAGTTTCCGACTTGTGAAACAAGCAGATGTCAAAGGGTAGTTGGGCATCGCAGACAAGCGGAAGGGGTGCTCCATGTTTTTCCCGTGGGTTTCAGAAGTTTGAAAAGGTAAGCCACCTAATGGTCCGGTGCAGTGGCAGATGTCACATGCCCGGCGGATGTTTTTCAAACGGGCGTTTTGCTGCCAACGCAAGCAGGCTGCTTCTTACCCCGGCGTTCAAGTCTCCGCCCGGCGGGTACTAACAATCCCGCGAACATTAGGCGGCGGAGATCCCTGGCGAGCAAAGCGACCAAGAAATTCCAGGCTTGTGCAATCCGCGTGCTCGAACGGTCGCTTATCGACCCGGTGTTTCATTTTAACGATCCCATCGTGCACGTTCAACGAGCCCGTGAACGCAATTGGGACGTGGCGTATCGAGGGAAACGAGGAATCTTCGAAACGTTCTATCGACACGGAACGTTCCGATGATGCAAAGAGAAATTCGCCGGAGGAGGACACGAGATGCGCAAATAGAAAATCACTGTACGAGAAACGGAACAAACAGGGAGGAGCAAAGTATGACTTTTTTTGACCTATGACTTTACAATGAAGAGTTGCAGACTGCATACAAGCACGCACATCTGTTATCAGCATCCATGCAGGGGATAAATCTAGTCTCTAATCTCACAGTGTTATTACTTGTTTGAAAAGCTTTTCTGTGAGAAATCAATGTAAATGCAGATGAACTTCTAGTATGCAACAGAGTACATTAACAAATATCATGCATTTGTAATGCTTGTTTGTTAGTGCAGAAGTATAAAAACGACTGCAGCGATTCAAGAGCGCTTGTGAATCATTGGCGAACGAGTCATGTTCTAGATATGTAATCAGTAATCAGGAATTGCATAAGTACATATGTAGATGCAAATTCATGCAAAAGATGTGCTAATGTGGCTGCAGATGTTTATCGTTAAAGGAAATTGTCGATGTTGATTCAAAATTTTGTTTTATCTAACATTTAGTATAGGCTATTCGATAATATTCTCATTATTACTGTTAACATTTTCTCATTTTTTTACTGGAGATTCAATTATCCTTTTTGTAAAATGAGAATGCTTTGTGGAAAAATGTTTGAAAACTTTGTTGTACTGTTTCATTTATCTTCATCACAATCTGCGCTTAGTGTAGATAAGTTAAAGAGTAGTGACAACTCTATTATTGATAGATAATTATTGATAGATAGATAGAACCTAACACATTGACATTATTTTTGGAAGATATTTCTCAAGGTTTGTCATCTCAGAAAGCATCATGCTCCCCAATTTTTGATTTCCCTAATCAAATAGCTGTGAAATTATCGCAACACCAAGACTGTGCCAATAAATTAGTCATTACTTCCTCAAATAAAATCTTGTTCCAAGAAAGTTTATATCAGTTAAACTTCCTACTACAACTCCGCGCAACTTTTCCCGCCATTCGATAACACACGCACGGTCCCAAGATCGAGTGCGCGTTCGCGATTACTCTATATCGAATTCACCGTTAGTTCCTAAGTCCGATACCTTTGACAAGGGGATCAGATTGCAGGGTGACCACGACGGGAAATCGGAGTAAGGTCGATCGGTGAGAAGTGTTAATTCGGTTTGTACAAGTTGAAACGCGGCTGCCGTTCGATCGTGGCGGATCGACACGAGGGGGCGCTTTTTCCCTTGCACGGTGTCAAAATGATCAAGAGCGATCGTTGGTCGGTGGCCCGGTAAAAACGTACGCATCTGGTCACGTAGTATCCGCGACAAGCTACAAATGGTTCCGCGGATCTGTTTACGTTTCGGCCAGAATTTATGGGACGAACGTGCACCGCGGCGTGTACGTGAAAGTCTAGGCTCGCGCGATTTCGACGAAGAAACACGACACAACCTTTATAAATCTTTTGGCTGAAAAGCCACGTAGAGGTATGCCGGGCTTTTTACAGAAAACGCGCGCTTCGATTTCGGTGGCGGCGCGCTAAAGCGTCCACGCAGCCGCGGATACTCCGGGTCCGTGTTGCACGGGCGAAGAATGTACGCAAGAAAAGTTAAGGCGTGTCGATCTACTGGACCGACTCGAGGAGATCGTCTCGAGCGACGACGACGTTTCTCCAGAAACTTTCGCCGCGCCGCTCCGAACCGACTAGACTACACCTAGTCCCCGAACGTTCCGAGAAGTCAATGAACTCCAGGAATATTCCATCTCGACGGAACAAAAACGTCAGCCAAAAGCCAACGTCGAACAGTATTCGGGAACAACCTGGAGGTTTCCTCCTCCGACCACCTGAATCCTGAGCAACGCGTGCCCGTATAAAGTCACTCACCGATTTAGAAGCGATCATTCGGCCAATGAAATATCCAAGGCAAGGCATTCGGCAGGCTGCACGTTCGAAACTTCAAGGAAACGAACGTTCACTTTTAAAACGGGTAAACGTGTCTCCGAACTTTTCGTCGCCGCGCACGAAACATTCATAGCATCCGTTCCATCGATCGCTGTCGCACTTTCACGCGAACAACGTTGCCCCGTGGAAATGTCGCGTCCACGTGGTCCGCTGGCACGGGAAATATCGGTCGACAGTGTTCGACGATAAGTGGTCAGGCCCGAAGAGGAACACGCGGAGAGTCACACGCGAGGCACTGGTTTGGTGACGAGGCGAGAAAAGCTAGCAGACGTCTCGGGACGGGCGCGTCCGTGAGATCAACTGATCGAGGTGGCACGCGAGATCGAGTTTACGCGTCTGATAAGAGGTGCACGCGCGCGCGCGCGCGCGTTATCACTGTCAAACACGCTGACGGCGCGCTCTGCGTCGGTTTGGCATCGCTTCCACGAACCCGGCTCCGACCGTCTCGAATTCTCCGAGCACAGTACAGAAACGAATTCCTTCGTCGTTCCTTCGTACACATAAAATCCCAAAGTTTATCGTCACCGCTTCGGCCAACCTGTTTCCAGCTGACAATGCACCCGAGATCTTTCTCCGTCCGCTAGCTGCCTCTATACTTTCTTAGCTGAAAACGACCGGGTTGCTCTCGCTGGAGGACGAGTTCTCCGCTCCGGTGTCCACCCACGATCGACGAAACGACAACGGTCAACAACGACGTTCCCGTTGTTTCACGGATCACTCGCGATTCTACGGTTCCACGCCGAGAGAAAGAACGCACGCGTTGAACAACACACGAGAAAGGAAGAGGCGGCTTTCACGAGAATTCCAGCCGATCTTTCGAGGCCTCCTCTTCGGTCCGCGCGTCTCACCTTGCGGAGAGCGAGTCTCCAGGTCGGCCATGCAACGACGCACAGGTCCACGCTGGGCAGGAGTCTCTCCTTGCCTCTCCTGCACCTTCGGGCCTCTCCCTTTCCACCTTCTACCACCACCACCACCACTCGGGTACAGCCACTACCACCGTCGACATCGGAGTCGCCACCACCGGAGTGCCTCTCCACCTTCTCCTTCGCCGCCGTCAGACTTCCTCGTCTCTCCCTCTTCGTTCCCTCTCGCCACCGGCCAAAAGACAACTCCTAACCTCTCTCCTCGTCCCACTGTATTACCTCAACCCGGCTCGCGCCATCCTCCTTTTCCCTCTTTCGCCTCCACTTCGCGTCCTTCTTCGCTCGGTTTCTCTACTCTAGCCAGGTAGAGCGGCTAGCTATCTCTACGCTCCGGACTCTCCCTCGGACCCTTTGTCGCTACGTGGAACCTTTCCCTGTGTGGATCCACGTTTGATCCCCCTCGGCTCTCTCTACACCTGAGGGTTGCGCACGGTGCATCTGGACTCGGAAAAAACATGTGTTCCACGAGTGTCTGCCGTGACGGAGGCTGCCCACGAATCGCGGATCTCGATCTGCCGAAATTGGAGCGGTCCGTGGGTGTCTTCGACAACGCTTCCGACTCTGCTGATCATAATGAAATTTGATATCCACCAAATTTCTCATGAGAAAAATATCAGTACCCATATCGCAAACATTCAAATATTTGGGTTATGTTTCGTTAATGTGAACCTAACTTCATTTTACTAAGTGACCTACTAGCGTGGATTAAATGTTCGACAGTGTCTTATATCTGAACCTATATCGTTCTAACGCATACCTTAAGAGAGATTTTCTACCATCCTATCTTGAATGTAGCACTTGAGGTGTGCTCTTTATATTACGAATCGAATGATTTCGAAAGTGAAGCTATGACCTTCCTTAAGCTTCTCTGCGCAGCTGCATAGGTTCGAGGGAAAATTCCGGAAGCGATATCTTATCGAATTCCGTGCGTTGGCAAACTGAAATGCTAGCACGGATTCCGTGATCCGAAAGAATGTTCCATGGAGAATTCAATTTCCTTGGGGTTTGATCGAACGCGTTTGTCGGCGTGTTTTTCAAACGAATTTAACGAACGAACTATGAGTATCCGCGATTTTTCCGACGACAAAAATGTAAATTGCTTATAAACTCGTTTCACCGTTTGTTAAACGGCGTGAAAACGTTCGGCCATGTTCAGTGGAGCACCCAGCGCTGTACTTGCAAGAATGTGGAATCGTGTTACGTAAATGCCACCTTAGGCAGGCGTGAAAATACATCGTGTTCGGTTTCTCGGAAGAATCTACCGCTATGCGGCTAGTTTCAACGCTTTTAAAAAGTTGCAATTGCTCGTCAGAATTCCACGGACTGCTCGCCTTTTTTCCGCGAAGCACGCGAGAAGACTTTGCCGTAAATACGTAATAATGAAGGAACTTGGACGAAGAACGAGCGGACGAGCGCTTCTTTTGGTCGATGTTATGCTTTTACTGGTAAACGTTTTGTGTCGGTAAATTAGCAAAAAGTACGTTGCAACTGAACGAACTAGCGGAACTTTCTTAAGACGCTCCTTGCTATTTGATTTTGAAATTTATAAATAAACTCAGAGTCATTCTTGTCATCAAGAATATAAACTATCTTTAACTTCTTTTTCCTCGACGGATATTCTTAATATCAAGCTATAAGTTTATCTCTCTTTTATTTAATTTTTGATGTTACATTGCAGTTTTATTAGCAGTCAAATAAACGAACATTTTTGTTATAAAATTTTTGAAGTTCACAAACTTTGCACAGAGGGTTCCTCGGTTTTTAGCAGGTGCTTGTTGATGGCCCGTTTCGATCTGATACGATTTGATCCCTGAAGGATCATCCTGAACCGCTCTTGACATTTTTTCTGGAACGCCGACAGGGTACCAGCATTGTCCTCTTCAAGTGGTTTGACTATTTCTACGGTATTGTTTGCCTTCGGTCGACCTCACCCCCGCAAAAAGGTACCCCGTGGCGAGGAGACAGCACCGCTAACACGCCTAACAACTGAGGAACAATGCTGCAAAATTTCAGAGCGAGAATAGCCCATTCGTATCCCATTTGTCATTGTTCGAAAACTGTTTCTCTCGCTGGGAGACTCTTCTTGAAAGGACGACTTTGCATCACTTTGGAATCCATCGCGAATGCTCGTCAGCGTTTTGAACTTCATTTACATGCCGAAGCCGAAGTTTCTTTAAATTCCGAGAGCTTTGTAACTGCGGGTTAAATACGGAGAAATATAGACAATGGAACTGTAATGATATGTATTCTTCAGTAATCGTAAACATTCGGACATGACACACCGGGTGCGTCTATTGAAAACAGATGACGCACAGGGTGCGTATTAGAAAAAATTTCATATTTATATAAGACAAAATTTATCCATTTATCTCATTAATTATTACATTTATTTTATTATACGTTGAAAAAAGGCAATGATGTAAGTTCAGCACAAATCTCATGACACACGTGGTGCGTCACCCCTTCACAAGAACCTAAACGTATTTTTATCAGACTTCGAATTTTTTGGCTATCTTATTTCTTCATATAAAAGATAAAATAGATCGTTCTATCAGCATCTGAGTGATACAGCATTTAATTGTTGATATGTTATAAATTTCTATAAATAATTTAATTCTGATTAGGCGAATAGAAAATAGCGTCGAGTCAGGGAGGATCGATGGCTGCTTCGATCATCAGGAAACGATTCACTTTTCACGGTGACGCTAATTGTCGGACACGCAGGTTGCCTTGGGACGATAATGGCGATCGCACGAGTTCAGGAATCAACAGGTGGTTTCATGAGCGCGTGGGCCTAAATTTAGCCGCGACATAACTTCTCCTACTACCTTTCCACGACTCTTCCCCTCTGTCGTCGAATTTGTTCTCTTTCCTGTCCCTTCCGACTGCTCGTTTCTTCTCCGCTCGCTGATTTCTCGTTTTCGCGCGTAAAAGCCGCTCGTTGAAGCGTGACTCCATCTAACGCGCGATGACGAAATTTTACGTCGACCCGACGAAAAAGTTCGCCTGATTCGTGATTTCAATGGAAAGTTTCACTCGAAGTATTGCTGAGAGTTCAAGCTAGGTCCTGACACTAATTTGATAAGTAACTATGATCAGATATAAATTATGCTGTCTTGTGTTTCATTTATGTCTCTCGAATACGAGAAGGTTTTATGAGGTATGATCATTTTTATGGTAGGGTTCAAAATGGTTAATTAAATGTTACATTTTAACATTCTATATATTGTAACTAATGCAATACATTCATAATATAATGCCATACAATAATAAATGCATGAAGTACATTAAAAAATAATAGAAGAGGGAAGAAGTAATAACAATGATAATGTTGCAAAAGAACAAAAATACCTATACAAGGGACAAATTAAAATAATGAAAAATAAAGAAGATAGGAAACCAAATTTATTCCTATTATTGTTCCTTGAACTATTCTTTGATGATGAGGAATTTGAACACATGAGAATTAAAAATGACCTCACATGTATACCTAATCGTCCACATATAGTTACGCCTATTTTTCAAGTTGCACTTTAGCGAACATATGGTAAAATTCAATCTGTTTCGAGACACATATTTGAATCCGACGAAATGGTAGAAAGAGTTAACGAAACAGCCGGAGGTTAGATGGTTTCGAGGAATTCGAGACTCGTTGGCAACGTGGATCGGAAGGATAATTCGAATGGTAAGGACGAGGATGACGGTCATAAGGAAGCATAAGATCAATCTCAATGGCGGCCGGTTGGACGTCAAGCGAGACAGGGCCAAGCTCGTATCTCGCGCTTCGACGCGCGATTTACAGCTGCCGCGTCGCTTTATTCCCCAACCTGTTCTCGTGCCCGATGCTCTCGCCGCAGGAACGCAGAAACTCGCGTTCCTGTTGCAGAGAATCTCGCGTTGCTGTACGCGAATCAGATAAAAGTGGCACTGGAAAGTATACACCGCGGCCTCCGCCGCGACTTTGAAGAATCGGCCAGGATTCACGGGAGGATATCGCGCTGCACGCTGCAGTGCACTATGGATGGCTGAGATTTTTGCGATAAAAGCGCATTCTATTTACCCGACCCCGACGGTTTAATGATAGATCTGCGATCTCGGGTTTCTGTAGAAAGTGGAAAGTTGCGAATTAACCCTCCATCGATGGCCTCCTCGTGACTCCATGTAAATTGCATATTCAAATTTCTGAGTAAGACTTTTCTTCGAATATACAATCTTGAAGAGTTTCAAATTTTTTGTTTAATTTGAACATTTTTGGTATTAAGTCTAAGTTTCTCCAACAACTTTTTTGTTATAAGATATACTGGCAAATCAAAAAAATATCAGTGAGTTTTAGATAGTATGTAGTCTTTCAGAAATTTTAGAGTAACCACCCTTTTAGAGTAAAAATGAATTTAATTTCATTTAGTCGAAATTACAAATTAAATTGTTCAGTATAAGAAAAAATGAACTAGTCACAAAGTGTGGTTGCTTAAAATTAAAACGTTAATTTTTCTCCTATACTGAATATTTTTAATCTGAAAGGTCTAACCCCTTTGTCGAATGATTTTCATACTTGATTTCAGTTTTAATTACTTAAATTTTCAAAGATACGAGACATGTAATTTCCATAAAAAATATTTGAATCTGTCAAATGAGTAATTTGTTTAAGGTCCTCGTTCATTACATGAATCGATTAAATCGCTGATCGAAGAAGACTCAATTTATTGCGCACGCAACATATGCCTAATTAAAGTGTACATGATGTATCTGAAGATAAGGAACTTTCAATTAATACATCATTAGGTTCCACAAGTTTCGAACTGACATTTAAGTCATAGTTAATTACAGACTTTAGATTAATAAGTTAATTATGGGCTTCAAAGTAATAAGTCAACTATAGATTTCAAATTAATAAGTTAATTATATGGAATAACTGAAGTGTTTATAACACAGTTTGCAGTTCACTTTTTAATATTAGTAGCAAAATGCTTAAACTTGACGAAGGTGGTGAAATATTAAACAGAAATTAAAAGTACACATCTGATTGCCATAATTTCTTTCGG